TGTGCATGGGAGCGTTGACCCTAATTACGACGTCCGGCCGTGCCTACGGAGCGCGTGTGTTTGTCGCCCATCGCGTTCAGGATCATGGGGCCGAGGACGTGCTCAATCTGACGAAGCGGGTTTCAACGTACGTATCCCACCTACTCAGCATGCGAACTGGTTGGACTGATTCATCAGAGAGATTTTGCAGCCCGTTTTTGGCGACGTTTCTCTAACGAGTGACGGACTCCAAGAGCTCCAACTCCGTCGAGCAAATAGCTCCAGTCTGTCGACGGGTCGGACACGGGTCTGGTGTTCGACCGTGCTCAATCAGGCTCAACCAGCACTTGACCCTCCAGCCGGTCATAAGCGCTCGAAGCAGGCGGCAAGTGGGCTCAACTGGTTGGGCCGATCCGTCGCCGAACCCTCTCAACACTACCCACGGGGGCTCCTCTCCGCGTATCCTGGCATCGAGCAACGGCTGCGCGTGAGGCGTTCAACGTGCCACAGTCCCGAGCAGCCCCAACTCTGACTGTGTGGGGCCTTCAAGATCGGGCGTGCAGTATCTCTCTCTTTGATCAGCAGGCTGGACGACGCTTCGGTACGACTTGCCCTCGACTTTTTTCAAATTCGCTTCTGCGTCGCTCTATGCCCACACGGCCGCGCGGCTCACCACACGCCGATGATCATCTCGCCCGCCCACCTCTCGATCCGCCGTGTTCGAATTGGCGCTGGCCGCCCCGCCCGCACCTCCCACCCGCGCACCTGCTCTCTCGACGCCGGCGGCTCCGCCCGCATCAAGTACCCACCTCATTCGAGGAGGTCAGTGGCCGGCCTCGAGACAAGAAGACTCCTAGGTTGTTATCGCATTCGATGTACATATATTACGCCTCGTGTCTGTTCACATGATATAGTTCCAGAATGTTGCAGAACAAGTAGACTCGTATGTGTATTCGAAGCATGCTCGCATGCCCTTTAACCTGATGCCTGCGCGACTCGTCTTGTCTCCCCCCTTCATCATGGTCACACCAACGCCGCAAGAACTTGGTTTTGATGCCAGCTCGGAGAGCCAGATGGAAGGCGACGAGCTGTGGGTCGTCTTCCTGCAAACGACGAAGAACGAAGTGGAGAGGATGCTGCGGAGCAGTGGGAGCGCTATGGGAATGAACATAGCCTATGTACGTCCCCCTTCTGTTGTCTCATACTTCCTGCTGATTGTCACACAGAGCTCCGTTTTTGCTGCTGTGGTGGCAGCATTCGCCGTGCCACGCTACACGAACCTTTCCTCGCATTCCAGTCGCATGGACACTGCCATTACCGCGCTCTGGATCCTCGCCATCGTGTATTCCCTGCTTTCGGCCCTACTTGGGATGATGGTGCTGGACTGGCTTGCGAAAGCCCAAGGCTCTGACGTTCTGCCCAAACTTCAGACCATCGAGCGCTACGCCCAAAGAAAGTTAACCGTCTATAGCGTCCTCAAGCGCTACCGGCTGGATTGTATCGGATCGCTGATACTTGGCTTCATGCACTTAGCAGTGTGCCTATTCTTCCTGGGCCTGTGTTTCGATCTGTATCCGCGGAACAGATTCGTATTCGTCATCGTCGCGGCACACGCTGGAACGGCCTCCGTGGTCTATCTTATTAGCAGTGCCATACCACTGCTCTACTCACAGTGGCCTTACTCGTCTCCCTTGACCTACGTTCTACGCGTGTTCTTCTGGGGCTTCTTGACGCTCGTAGCATGCATCCTGCTATCGTGCATATTCATCGTGCTTGCCGTGAGCAAATGGATTAGAGAGAGATCCATTCGCATCCGAGACCTCGATCCTCGCCTGCTCACAGGCTATCTGGATGACCCGGCGAACTCCGCTCGGGTGCTTAAAGCCATCATCGTCGGCATTGTGCGCGGACGCTCTAGCAAGGAAATAAAGAGAGACATCGACGACGTACTTGCCCCGGCGCGCGGCACCAGATTCATATCCGGCCATAGGCTACAGTTTCTTCTTGATCGCTTGAGGGCGGTGCTATTGAAGACCCCCGCGAATCTGCGCTATGCTGCCCGCTGTCTGCTCAATCTAGAGCTTGAAGGGGTTTGCGACTTCTTCATCCATATGCGAAGCGACAGGAAGAGCATGAAAAGTGTCGCCAAGGCTTGCGCACCTGACGTTGAGTCCATCCGTGCTGCAGAAGGCATTATACGCTTGTTGCAGATGATCATATCGGCGGAGAATGTACCAGACAGTCTCATTCAAGCACGTACCAACCAGGCGGCCAGATGGAGGTACATGTCACCCATCGTCTCCTCATTTCCACTACTGGCGGCCCGAGTTGGAGAACTCAGTCAACAGGCACTCAAACAAAACGACGTGTCTCTGCATGTAGCAGTTGCAAGTTTACGCTGGACGCTTATTGTGGCAATGAGTCGTGTTGAGACTCTGCCCAATACGCCGCCCTCAAACGCCATGGCCTGCATCCGTGCTCTCCTCAACGCACTTGATGATGCTGAGGGTCTGCGACTGGAACGGTTGACCTCCAGTGACCATAACATGCAGGAGCTCCTCCACCCTGGCTCACCTGATCCTCGGGTGGAGATAGCTTCGCGTAACGCCTTCACACTCTTGCTCGCCATTCGCCAATGCAGGTGGAAGTCCAATATTTGGCACAAGCCCGATGCGCACTATATTCCCAAGGATTGGCCAGGAATGTGGGACTGGAGCAAATTCCTGCCAGAGACGGATGGCACGAATGCACCATCAACTACTCTGACCGAATTCTTGAAGCGCGATAGACTTGGGGAACTGTTATCGGAGGGATCGGAAACATCTGCTGCTGGACTTCCGCGACTCGATCCAGTCGCCCTCATCGCATTGCGCGATGTGGCAAAGCTTACGTCCATCCCCGATACAGCATCATCTGCTGTATGGGAATCCCTCAATGAACAGACACCACAAGCAGGGCCTTCTAGTGAGGGTTCATTGAGGTTGAATGTGGATGTGGATGAGTCTGGCCCCCTCCTCCCTGGTTCCTTCAACAGACTGGCTAGCGAGGACAATCTGTATAGTGCCTGAGCGGCAGCTATAGTACCGCTTCGTCATGCCCCTCCTTGAATTGGACTGCTGATGTATTGCTTTGTATTGCTTGTGTCATGTGTTCGTTGCGATGGCCCCGTATCTACCCATCTACCCACCCGGGTATGCAATGTCTACATAAACATATGAATCTCACTTACCTGCTTGTCTTGTGACATCACATTGAGCCGTCGGCAATCTTAAATATACTTCCAATACACTCTTTCTTCAAGCAAATCGATATATCTATTGAGGTATACAAATACTGTACATGTCATATGGCATAGGTAATAGAACATGTACGAGAACACGGGATACAGGCCGGAACTCGGTTCATATTCTCGTGACCGACGAGCAGAACTGGCTTTTGGAAAGCATGCTGTGAATAGAGACATCGTCACCGTCGAGGTATTCGACCCGAAGGACTGGAAAGCTCCGGCGGACGAAGTCGTCGATCAGGAGGGTATGCTTCTTACTGTGCTTGATGAAAGTCGCCGTCTCATGGATCTTAGTCACACTCAAGATTGCCGACGTCGAGGACTCGGAGGATGAAGGCGAGCCGCTGGAGCCCATCGGGGAGGAGTTGCGCATCTTGAAGGAAGAGGAAGATGCGCGGAGGGCGGCAGAACGCCAGCCTACAGGACGCATTGTCGGCATCGTCAAGCGCAACTGGCGAACGTAAGTTGCATCTCTCGTGCCTTCCCCAATGCGTGCAAGCTAACCGTTCACCCAGCTACGTATGCCACATCGACTCTACATCACTTACATCGGAAAGTTCTACCTCCATGTCCCAGCAGACCGTTTTCACCCCGCCAGTCTCACGCCTCATCCCCCGCATTCGCATGCACACTCGACAAGCACCTTCGCTCTTAGGCCAGAAGATCCTCGTCACCATCGATCGCTGGGACGTCACGTCCCGCTATCCCGAGGGTCACTTCGTTCGCGCGCTGGGCCGCGCCGAGTCGAAAGAGGCCGAGCAGGAGAGCTTGCTTCTCGAGTTCGGTGTACCATACCGGTGTGGTAGTATCCCCGAGCAGATGTACGAGCTCGCGTGGTGCGACGCGCGCAAACTTGAACGCGTTCACGCGCGTCGGGTCCCTATCCACGACTTCCACCACGGCTTCATTATCTCTAAGATTTACAGGTCCCACCATCACCACCGCTACCCCTTCTACTCGACCGATGTCACTGCCAGGCATCGGCACCGCGCTCCCGCGCCCAAACACGCGTAGCTCGGTCCCGAGCGGCCACGCGTTCGCGATCCGCCGCACTCTCGCCGCCGCGCTCGCGCCAGCCATGGCTGCGACTATCAGCAATATCGAGGGATCATGGAGGATGGTTTAGGCTTCGTATCTGTGTTCCTGCTCACCTTACTCTTATTTTACAGCTTCGGCATATTCCTCCCATCTGGAACCCACTTTCCGACAAACGAGCGACACACCACTCCTCTCCCTCGCTGTCACCAGGGCTGCTCCTCTTCTCGTAGCCGTGCATGGGCTGGCGGAACCCACGCATGCTCTGTTGCGGGCCAGAGCACGAGAATGAGTCGAGCAAGCCGGTACGAGACGGGTCTCCAGCGAGGCGAGGCTGCCGGCACCGCGAGGCAGTCTACTCGCCCCCGATCTCCATACGGTCTCTTTCTCGTGCTGCTTTTTATGCTTTTCATGTCTTCCGTACCTTACTTTACCGCTTGGCGCCGTCGGAGGGGCGGGCGAGCATTCTCGTCTCTTATAACGATTGTATCTTCGAAATGAGAATTCCGGCTTCCCTTTTCCCCTCAAAGTCTGAACCTCTAACGGCGCCCTCGCCAGTATCAAGGTTCAAGTCTCTTCGGAAAGCCAACATCCTCCTGATTCGCATCGTCGTGCGCGTTCAAGACTTCGGTCGCGATTCCGGTTGCCCGACCAATCCTTTCCTCGGACATCCTTACCCTCCCTCGGAGACTTCTAGCAGTAGTACTAGTGGATAACACACATCGGTACGCTGTATTCATACCGCTCATAAGCTAACTGGGTTCCACAGGATCCGTTCTATCCGTACTTCGCACGCCATCCTTACGAGTGACCCTAACACGCCCACCAGCACCTTGGACGTTCCTCCCACACTGGCCGTTTGGGAAAGCTATACTTGATTGCCTACCAAAAGAAGGAGAGCAGTGGGTTGTGCCACCTAAGGGCGAGACTAGCCCTGAGTGGCGCAATGGCGAGGACCTCCGAGATCTCGTCATCTGCAGTATCGACCCGCCAAACTGTCAAGATATTGACCATGCTTTACATGCGCGGCTACTACCTAACGGAAACATCGAGGCCGGCGTCCGTGAGTAGCATCCTCAGGCTGTCATGTCTGGGTACTGAATTGCGTTTAGACATTGCCGACGTCTCTCACTTCGTACATCCGGATAACCCTATGGACAGCGAAGCAGCGGCACGCGGCACAACTGTGTACCTGGTAGACAAGCGCGTCGATATGTTGCCTTCTCTCCTCGGGACGAACCTGTGTTCCTTAAGACAGTTTGTACAGCTTGCCTTTTCTGTCATATGGGTGCGCTTCATTCAAACCTGTTTAACTCCGAACTCGTCCAGTCATTCTCATGAAGAGGATACAGGAACTTTCGCCCCAAACGGCAGATACTGTCAATGTGCGCTTCACAAAGAGTGTCGTCGCATCGAAGCGGGCATTCACGTACGAGGATGCACAGCTGCGCAAGGACGACACGTCTCTGAACGACCCGCTCACGGAGGGCATCCGTCTACTCAACTCTGTCGCCAACAAGCTCAAGGCGGGCCGTATGCACGCTGGTGCCCTCAGCCTCGCATCCCCGCAAGTCAAGATTCACCTGCAAAGCGCCGAGAGCAGCGACCCTATCAATGTTGAAGCGAAGGAGCTCCGCGAGACCAATAGTCTGGTCGAGGAGTTCATGTTGCTCACGAATATCAGTGTCGCGCGGAAGGACCAGGAGAGCTATCCTCAAACTGCTGTGCTCTGTAGGCACATGCCACCGCCTAAGGAGAACTTCGAGAAGCTGCAGGTTATCCTCAGGCGACGGAAGGGTCTGTCGCTAAACGTGTCGAGCCCAGGCGCACTCGCAGCGAGCTTAGACAAGTGTCTTGATCCGGGTGAACCCGCGTTCAACACGCTCGTGCGCATCATGGCCATGCATTGTATGCCGTCCACCGAGTACTTCTGCTCAGGTAGCGTCTCAGCGGACAATTTGGTCACTACGGTCTTGCCTCGCCCCTCTACACGCACTTCACCTCCCCGATCCGACACTACACCGACGTACTGGCACATCGGTAGCTTGCCATTGACATATGCATATTCGAAAAGTTTATCAAGGTGATCTAAAGCCTACGAAACAGAACGTGTTCGAAGGCCCACGATACAGAACATGTTCAGAAGCTCACGAAACAGAACATGTTTGGGAGGCCACGAACAGGAATATGTTCTGTTCGGAAGCCCACAAAACAGAACATGTTCGGAGGCCCACGAAACAGAACATGTTCAGAAGCTCACGAAACAGAACATGTTCGGAAGCTCACTAAACAGAACATGTTCGAAAGCCCACCAAACTGAACATGTTCGAAAGCCCACTAAACAAAACATGTTCGAAAGCCGACGAACCGAAACATGTTCGAGATCCCGCAAACATATACAGGTTCAAGCCTGCCTAAGGACTCATTGCGAAGCCACCACGTTAACGAGCCTTCACCCCATGAATCTTCACCGACTTTGTTCCTCTCGCTGTCTAGTTCAGAGCCTGGAACGTGTGCCTCCCTCTGGATGGGTTCATCTGATTTGATCGATTTGATAATCCATCATTCTAATTGATGGCCGGTTATCAAACCCCGGTCCTACACGGCTGGTGCGCGCGGGGGACTCCGCGCAACGCGCTCCGGACACCACTTTTGGCGGTTTTGCACTTTTGGGGAACGTCGTTATCGGCGGTACGAGCGGATCGGATGGACTGTATACAGTATATTGCCCAGATGTTGCGAGTGGAGATGAACGGAATGTACCGGAAAAATACCTCCGGCACGCGCTCTTCAGAATGTCACTGTTCTTGGCCGGCCCGAATCCCAGCTTCTTCCTGAGAAGCAGCTGACATCTACTGGAGGCTTGAGTGGCAGGCGTGTGTACAGAGAGATCAGGCCCGACCTCAGGATGTATAAACCTCATCGGGGCGCATCTTGTCCGGGAAAAGCACCGCGATGATGCGTTGGAGGAATGTACTCCGGCGGCAGAGCGTGTACGTGGTCTCTCCAGCGTTTGCAGGCAGTGTGATTCATTCGGTGGCGTATCATTGTACGGAATGCACTGGCCGTCATGTACATGAACGTCAACTCAAGACACTCGAGCAACGGCGCGCGCCGCGCGCCGAAACGCACCTCACGGCCCCGTAGTAGTGATAGTCTACTTGTAGATGATGTCACCGGCTGCAAGGAATAGATGAGCGAAGTATAAATAGTAAGCAGACTTCCGTGTATCCGCGTACAGCTACAAGAACTGAACGTATATGATTCATCGCTGACGTTGGGTCTGTAGAAGGAAGTCTATCGCAGGCGATAACCAGGGCTTGTATGGCTCAAGAAAATGCCGGCGGCGCAGCCCACGAACTCAGAAAGTGTGGCTCTCTATGATAAAGTGCAAGCACAGAAGCCACGAACAGCCGAACCGCGTCTACAACGCGGACGCGTGGAAGTATGAATATGAACAGGCGAGGGGTACTACCCGTCGTGGTGGAAGAAGGCAAGACGCGCTACGGACGTCACAAACGACGCCCTTGCTCTAAACACCGGTCACACGCGTCTGCCTAGACGTAAGCAGTCTATGTTATGCTCGTGTTTCATTGCTGCTGTGCTATTATGATATCGTGTTTCTAGTAAAGGGTATGTGTAAAGACAGGACATATAATGTGTGCGCTCCATCCGGGGACTATTCCTACAGCAACCGGAACTTCCTATACTGTTTCTCGGTAAGGCACCACCTGGGTAACGATCTCAGTCCTATGCGTATCTTGCGAGATGCGCTTTTCGTCTTCTGCATGCGCCATATGCCCAGTCATAGTGTTGGAGCCTCCTGACTCTGTTGTCGGACCATCAACGACTCCGAGCGCAAGCGCGACGTTCGTGGGTAGCGACGACGCGTTCAGCGTGTATTCCAGCACGGATCGCCGTATCGTAACGATAACTACCACGAGAGTGGGGTACATGGCCTATGAAGACGTGTGAAGTTAGCCGTAAGCTGCTTGTTGGGTAGAAAGCCCGTCAACTTACGGATAGTGGAGCCATGTAGAATGTTGACCACCAGAAGCCCAAGGAGTTGTCGAGGGTGGGAACGTCGTTATAGACGGCGTATACGACCTGAGATAACGTGAGTCAGGTGTCTCGACGTCGGGTCGACCTTCGTACTCACCCAAAGGGATGTATATACCACTCCCGTTTCGACTAGAATGGCGAGCATGGCCAAACTGCGACTGAACTCGTACTTTTGAACGTAGTCGCGGATCTCTAGACGATGAAGCCTGTGACCAAGATTGAGCTTGATACTTTGGTTGAGGATCAAAACGTACCATGCCCTGTACCCGATGAGAAATGTCGATAGCACTAGCACCGCGGCTGTGAGAGAAGTGGCGATGGACTGAATCAATGTAACCGGTTGACTATGCTGCGCTATCAAACGAGCCAGCGATGCCGGAGGATTGGGAAGCCTTGTCGCAGATATGAGGACGATATCAAAAACGTAGATCCCTGTTGAGCGTGAGCAGGTCTTAGTTGAGCGAGGAAGTGAGCGGCATACCTGCCTCGAGGAGCACCAAAACATACGATAGGACCAGAAGCCAGATAGGCCGTCCAAGTATGGCATATGCTCGCCACAGCGATATACAGTCACTGATGAACCACTTCCATGTGACGTTGAGAACCAGCTAGAGGTGTTCTGTGCTGCAACTGCTCACGATTAGCCTAAGGAGTACTGCCTGCGCGAGTAGCAGCGCCCCATTGTAGTTTGATAGCTCCGAACTGAAGTTGGGAGGATCGGGTGCAGTGAGTTGCTGAGGTAGAAGCACATACATCTCCGTCCAGAGTATGCGTATGTCGATAGTCCAGGATGCGGCGGCTAGTGTATAGAGACACATCGCCAAGGAAAGCATAGGCTTGACTAAGGGCCTATGTGTGCTATGGTTCCTGCCGACGGTACGGTCGTCAGCAGCTCACGCCGCACCGGTCATACAGAGAGCGTACCATCGTTGCCAGACAAAATAGATGGTAAGGACGGTGAAGAAAGCTAGACAAACAGACTATGTCAGAAACTCTGATTGACGGAAATTTCATCGAGATCAGAGGCTTACCGAACAGGGCGGTTTCCAAAAGAATGGGAAAGACACGGGCATCGGCTATGAGTCTCAGATCCTCAACGACGGCCGCGGACTGAGAGGCAGTCATATTCCCGGACATCTCTGTGAGCCGGACGGAAAGCAGGACTTGTGAGCAGGCCTCGTTGGCGGTTGCTTTTGTAGTCCTGCACATCCCCACGCTCTTGATGCGCTCTAGGTACACGATGCCTCAGTGCAGCTCTTGCGCCGCAAAGGCGCCCAGGTGCAGAATCAGACCTATTTCTCTAACCGCAATGGGATACAGCCAGCCACACGGTCAGCCCATTACGCTCGACTGAAGGCAGTTTTATGAATTCCCACACTTTGACAGATGTCTGAGCTTACTTACTGAATGGGATAATGACCATGCTCTGAGCGGGGCTCCTTCTGCTAGAACTTCTGCACATTGTGCAAGTTGACCCGGGATCTTCAGGTGCGCGCGTCTGGCGGTCACGTTGTACGGAGGTTGCAGGGGAGCGCCAATTCATTCGTGGACGTTGGGTATATAAGTCACAGGCGCAATGCATAGCACGTTTTAGGAGAGAAATCCAAAAAGAGAGACACCAGTCCTGCGAAAGACGGTTGAGTTGCCAACATCTCGACACTGTTCGGCCGCCAGGATCCGGATGCATCATCTGCTTGGTACTTTTGCGCAATATCGCAGCGGAGTTTGAAGGTACAGAGCGATTCACGACTGACGCTGCGGTCCAATAGCCAATCTGACCAACTGAAGAGATGGACGAATGAAAAGGACTGCTATCTGTCGTAGGTTGCCCCAACGCTAAACCATGGAGGATAAAAGCAGGACGCGTTTGGTCGACGCGCGCGTCTGGCCGCCGGCGGGTGATTGATTCGCCGCGGTCACATGCGCTGTTCGCGGACAGGCCCGAAAGTACCGTCGCGTGCCTCACTGCGGCTCGACTCCGTACGGCGACTATGGCGCGCCAACGGCGTTCGGTGCATTCGACACGTCTTGTTGCGGGTGTCTTGACGTTAGCAGCACTCGTCTCCTTATCTCTACTGTTCGGTCTCAGTCTACTGGATGAAGAACACTCTCAGATAGCCATTCCTCTGAATGCGCAGAGGAACTTGGAGCAGTGTCGGGCTATAGATGTCATGCCCGGTCCTCTGCCTGCTTTCTACGAAAGACAGGTATCTGACCGGTTTGTACACGGCACGAAGCCTATCTGGATACGAAACGCGACCATATGGACAGGTCGCGTTCAGGGACTAGAGGTCCTTCAGGGCGATATCCTGCTGGCTGATGGCTTGATACGGGCCATCGGTACTGTCAACCCCGAACTGCTGGCCAAATATGAGGATGTGGAGGAGCTCAATGCGCATGGATCTTGGGTGTCGCCCGGGTGCGTATATATGCCATACTGCATGTGTTGGATACTCAACAGTGACTACAGGATCGTTGACGTTCATTCACATGTTGGCGTCGAATCTGCCCCCGCTCTTGACGGTGCCGCGGACGGTAACTCGCTTCAGGGTACAATCCAGGCGTGGCTTCGCTCCATCGACGGCCTAAATACGCACGATGACAGCTACGCGCTCGCAATCGCAGGCGGTGTGACGTGAGTGTTCATGAACCTATCTCTGCGAACAACACTGTACTGACAGTATGGCATAGTACCTCACTCATTTTACCCGGTAGTGCGAACGCTATAGGTGATCTGCGCTGATGCTCTATGTCTTCCCTGGCTAAACTCCCTTGCAGGAGGACAAGCCTACACTATCAAGCTTAGACCCACAGCCGAGCGTTCACCGACCGCAATGCTTTTGGAGCCCCCCGTGTACATCAATGGCTCTAACCCGGAGTACGTAGGATGGCAACATATGAAGTGAGTACTCAAGCAGTGACTCCGTGTATGTCGCAATAACGCGAGTGATTGCTCCATAGGCACGCGTGCGGTGAGTACCTGGCATCCTCAGACGTATTTGATTCACCTAAACTTAGGTTGTAGGCGAGAATCCATGTAAGTTAATGGAAGCATAGCCTCGTCTGGAAAAGATATAAATGCGCCTGCAGCCCGTGTATACGGAGCCACACGTCTTGATTCTGTCTGGGCGTGGCGTGAAGCGTGAGCCTTTCTACCGTATATCCTCATGCATCGCTCATCTCCATAGTTATAACAAGGCTCGGATAATCAAGGGAAAACAAGACGACTATTGCACCAAAGCCAGAGCCGCAAAGTGGGAAGGTCTAGGCGATTTCCCGGCGAACTTACAATACCAACCTCTGATTGACATTCTGCGCGGAAAGACGAAGGTAAGTGGCTTTCTCAGGTCCCCCGGGCGAATGTAACTCAAACAGCCTTCAGGTTCAAACGCACTGTTATGAGGCCGTGGACCTGGACAACTTCGTTAGAGTGAGCACGTCGGTACACTCTGCGTCAGGAAAGTGCACTGATACTGGGCTCAGCTCACCAACGAGTTCAGATTCCGTAAGCGTCGTGGAATGTTCAGACAAATGATGAGCTGATCGTGTCTAATAGCTGTGGCGGCCTTTCATCACGCACACGAGACCTATCTCGTCCCTGATGTTCTGAAGAGAGCGTATGGTACAACTGTATTGCGACTTCTTGGGGAGTGCGTACTCACTGACCATGTAGGATCAACCCCTGCTGTCGCCATATTCTCCGAGTTCCAAGGCTACAAGAGAGAAGCTTATCATTCGACACACTTCGCCGCGAAGATTCTTGACGACGCAGACATTCGTGTTCTTATGAAGGTTCGCCGTCGATCGAGTGCCATACACAGCACGCACCGATGACAGCAAATGTACAGAGTGACCACTCGGCCATCATCTCACGCTACCTACTCCACGAAGCCCAGCAAGCGCATCACTTTGGTCTCCCGTCCCATCGTGCGCTCTCGTCCGTGACCGCCACCGCGGCAGAGGTCCTCGGTCTTGACCATCGCATTGGGTACCTCAAAACAGGATACGACGCCGATCTTGTGCTGTGGGATAGTCACCCCCTCGCCCTCGGGGCCACCCCAACGCAAGTTTTCATCGACGGTGTTGCACAACTCACGTCGCCTATTACGCGACCCAAACCGGCATCCGCACAAATCGCACCTCAAACTCCTGATTACGACGTGGAGGCGGCCGATACTCTTGCTCGGCAAGGTGAACCCACCCTCGAAGGGATCATGCGTGTCACGGACCGCGTTGTGTTCTTGAACGTCTCCGCGGTGTACGTGCGTGGGAAGAAAGATGTCGAGCAGATCCGACTTGCCTCCGCCTCGTCCCTTTCGTGCGTCGTGGTGGAAGGAGGGGCCATTACGAGCGATGGCTGCGAGGCTGCGACCGATGCAGGCGTCGTACTTATCGATCTGAAGGGCGGGGAGATCGCCCCGGCGCTCGTCGCGCCGGCGACTAGTATTGGTCTACAAGAGATCGCTATGGAGGAGAGCACTACCGATGGGCAGATTTTGGACCCTTTGGTGGATACTGTTTCGGGTATCTTAAAAGACACCCTCATTCGAGCAGTAGATGGACTGCAATTTGCTAGTCGCGATGCGATGTACGCCTTTCTTTGCTATAGCGCAGGTTCAGCACTGAGTACTGACTGTTCAATCAGATTGTCGTATCGCGCCGGTGTGACGACGGCCATCACCGCCCCGGCTGGTTTTGGGTCTGGCGAACTGGGCCTGAGCACATCCTTTTCACTCGGTGCCCCCCACGTTCTCGCACCCGGAGCACTTCTTCAGGTCGACTCCGCTCTGCACGTTACATTGGCACACCCTTCCTCCCCCTCTATCTCCACGCGAATTGGCGCGCTGCGCCGCCTACTCCTCGACAACGAGCTTCAGAGAAGGAAGGGTGCTCTAGGAGAGGCATTCGGACGGGTGGCTCTCGGCATTACACCCCTCGTTGTGCGCGTCGACTCGGCCGACATCATCGCCAGCCTGATCTCTGTCAAGCGCGAGGTTGAGGAACAGACAGGCGCTCATCTAAGGCTTGTCCTCGTCGGAGCCATGGAAGCTCATCTACTTGCGCAAGAGCTTGCTAGCGAGGACATCGGTGTACTCGTCCAGGCACGGTCATTCCCTTATGTGTGGGATAGTAAGCGCATGTGCGTATCTAAGTTGTCTCGCGCGCTAGCAACATCCTGACACGCGGATAGCTTGCCCGGGCCGCCGCTCAGTGATAAGAGTCAAGTACAGCACTTACTCGACGCCGGCGTACGAGTGGGGCTGATCCCTCTCGGCATATCGGACGCTCAACCTGCTATGTCGGGATGGGCAGCCAGGAACTTGAGATGGGACGCAGGCTGGGTAAGTACTTGCGGGTTGTGACAGCATCTTTATGACCCGCTCATGACCCCCTAGATTGCGTTGGAGAGTAACCTCACGCAGGCCCAAGCTCTGTCCCTCGTATCGTCGAATGTCGACTCACTGCTTGGGGTTCGTGTTCGTCCACAAGATGCGGATTTGGTCGCCACTCAAGGTGGAGGGTTCCTGGAATTCCAGGGTAAGGTGGTCGGTATCTTAAGCCCCCGAGTGGGTGGGGTCGACATCTTTAGCGACCAGTGACAGATAGACCCGTAACGGGCTAGCTATGAGGAAAGCAGCTCGACCGATTGCGACTAGGCCTCACGCGTGCACGTGTGTACAAATGCTTGAATATATTGACTCGCTGTAATACATGTTATTTGTTGCTGCCGCACTGCTTCCTGAATATGTTCAAATGGCCCTATGTGATCCATAATTTATCACCCGCGCACTGCGCGTCAATTGCAACTCAGGTGCGCCGTCTCAACCCGACAGACCGCATCAAAGCTCATCTTACCCCCACCCTTCTCGTCTTTCATTGTCTCCGTAGATCGGCCTCGCACGAGGCCGGGTGGCGAGGAAGGTAGGCGCCGTTCATTGCTTGTTCCGGATTCGGCATCGTTCGTAGGCTTCGCGAAGCGGAAACTGCTGGCTTTGCTCGGCAGATTGTCGGAATCGGCGGCCAGCACCGAGTCCTGCATTGTTACTATCATCACCACCAAAGTGGGGTACATCGCCTGGTAGAGCTTGGTAAGCTTGTTGTCGAGGTTTGTGGTAGAAACGCTAGGATACTCACGGTGATAGGGATTACGTAGAAGTCCGTCCATGCCGCCGTCGTTTTGCTTGTGATCGTGTTATCAGCTCCCACCGCATACCATACCTATCGGGATATAAGACCAAAAAGAAAGGGATATCGGTAGCGAATGCGTACCCAAAGCACGGCGTATGCTAGACCAGTCTCGATGAAAACGGAGAGGGTCCTGAAGTTTCGGCCAGGGCCGTCGAAAACACCTCGTCTGATCTTGAGAATTGCCCTGGAGGGGCCGGCATCAATCGGTGAAGTTGACTAGTCGTATGGACGCTCAAACGGGAAGTGGGTGCTTACCAGGCCTTGAAAGCAATCAACACAGTTGCGAAGACTTGAAGTGCGGCGGTGACGGATGACGTCGCTGCGAAGGGCGCAGTACCAATGAGCCCTCCGCTCCTTTCCCACAGGACAGCAATAAATCTGGGCGGGTTTGGGAAGGCATAGAGGTACAGAGTCAGGTATACGACGTAGTCCGCTGAGTACACCATCAGTGTCCTGCCAGGTTACGGTGATTGAGAACACGAACCCAGTTCGAGAAACAATAGGGCTGATATAGTATAGCCAAGCCATCGAGGTCTGTCGAAGATCACCCAGGCTCTCCATAATGCTATGCAGTCGCTGATTGACCACTGCATCTCGTTGAGCGACGTGTACGATCATCCAACAGAACGACTCACTATGATCACTTGTAAGATGGCTTGTGCATACTTCTCCGCTCCCCTCAGCTCGGCTAGTGCGCCATAGACTTGAACATCGGGGACGGTCAAAAGCTGATTGGGCAGCAAGACAAGCAGTTCTTGACGCAAGAGTGCGATGTCAATAGCCCAGTACGCTATGGCCAACAGATATAGACAGATGGCCAAACCGAGTAGCATATTGGCGTGTGGCTTCGGCTTCTCCCTTTCGTGCTGAGGCAATCTCGAGTTCTTGATCAGGCGAGAGCTAGAGTAGGGTGAGTAAGGTAGTTGATACTTCGAGCGCGCTGCAACGCACCATCTTTGTTGCACAAAGAATACGGTTTGCACGGTGAATACACCTGTCAAAGTGGCCTTAGACGGGTTATCCGACCCACAAAAGGATGTATGACGTACCGATCAGAGCTGTCTCAAGCAGAAGCGGGAAGGCTCGGAAGCTAGCTATGTCCTTCACATCAGCAGTAGGCGAATCCAGCTGCACTTCAGAGATGTTATACGACATCCTGAACGCCCGAGGGAAAGATCCCTTTTCAAGTGGCAGTGGCCCGTAACAAGAGTCGGGGAACCTCTGTGGGGCCGTGTCGCTCTACGAAACAGACCTGCATATATATCCCGAAGAACAAGATGCGCCGCGGTGGTGAGTACTAGGCACGAGATGGCTGCACTTGCCTCATGCGTGCTGGCTTCTCTCGATCCGTCGGGGTTGATAATCAAGACGACCTGAGTGGCCGTGACATTGCGTCGGAACATCCGAACGGCAGTCCAACATATGAAGACACAAGGGACAAGGCTTTCCGTTGTGATAGCGCTCAAAATGTCTACGCGCCAATGGGGGCCCGCGTTGCGACAATGCGTAGAAGGAAAAACCTTTCGGCCTGAGACCGAAACACAGGAACATGATTAACCAGGTGTAGGAAGAGATAGCAATACAGACTGGCGGCCCGCGCGCAGTGCATCCTTACACCACTGTGGCGTAACTTACTCCGGCGTCAAGCGGCTAAGCATACTCTCGGCAACTGCCATCGTTTCAGGCCGACAGATTGGGCACTTCGTGAACATGCTTGCATGCGCAGCGTGTATAAATCCCATGCAGACATAGCCAGACCATCAAGATCCTCGTGATACTAATCAGATCTAGTCGCTTTGAGTCACGTCGGGGTATGACCAGGCTGCTCGCTGAACAATGACTATAATGGAGAGTGGACCGTGAACCCGACTGACGTCTCCGAGGTGTAGCGCTAGTCGTCGTTCCAAGGGCACATGAGGCGCTATCGAGTCCGCGGGCCAGCAGCGCTTTTGCCATGATCTGACTCAGAGATGAAAGTAGTGACGAAGATAAATCAGCCTGTTCGTGTGCGAAGCTGTACACTGGCCTTCAGTTAGAATGACATGGGATAGGCTTGGCTCGAGGAGTTCGCGATGGGTGCCTTTCGATAGGTCTAGGACGCACAGAGGTAGATCCCCATGATAGACTATTGCTTCATCTCTAGGATGCCCATACAGATCTGCGACATAAGTGCTAAGGCCCCTATGAGCGGCCGTCCGCCTTGAATCATCCTGCTGGGCGCTGCGTGAGCCGACCTGAACGAGACCTGCGACTAAGGAACCCTCACAGAGATACCGAGATCGGTGCAAGATGGTCTGGAGTAGCCTTCATGCGTTACAACATCACTGCTTTCAGGCCAACAGATTCCACGATGCGGAAGATGCGCGATGAACGAGGCGGCCTCATTTGCGTCCAGCTTCGACCAAGCGTGAGGATGACGTGAGAAGACGCAAGTGACAACGATTTCCTTATAAGGGCACTACATCATACGTCACGTCTCGACCAGAGACTGCAAGTGGTTTGAGATGGGCGTCAGAAGCAAGCCGCCGCGGGATTCTCTTAGAGAGCCGCATGGATCCGCGCTCCCACGATGCGCCATTTCTTGAGTGAGCGAGCCATCCCAATAGTCGTGGGCATACCGGCTGCGCTGGATGGTGACCGTATATCTTGGGGTCACCTTCCATAGTGATAGAGACAGTGTGTTTGGAAGGCCTGACGTACACCACTACCAGTGGGTAGTCTCTTCGATGTATGCGGCCTGAACTTCAACCGAGCGGATAGTGGGCCCGGTACTACCTACGGTAAGATGATCGACCACGACTAGTAGGGTAACGTATAGTCATATATAGTAGGCTATCGTCACACGCTACCAATAGCGAACATATCGTGCCGCGATGCAAATGACATGGGAGTGAAGCGGGATCCTTCTCCCGAACCATTACCTGAGTCCTTGCTCCCGCCGATGGGCTCAGTATGATTCACCACGAATAATCCCATCCGCATATCTCCATAGGACTGTGCGTAGCTGCTAGATGCACGAGGGAGAGGAGAGTCTTCACTTGTACTACTCGAAGCGGCGAAACGCAGTCGCCCAGACGCTGCGCTAGTACTGACCCCGCTAGGCTCCAGGGGAGACCTCCTGATTGAAACGAGAACCACGACAAGGGTTGGATACATCGCCTGTGATCTGCCGTCAAAGACAACACGATGACAATGATACAAGGTGGGCGTACTACAAGTGGAGTAAAGTAGTAGCTGGAGGTGACGGCTGCCGCCGAACCGTGTCGGCCGATCAAGTCGTTAATAGTGGCGAACCAGATCTATCGCGTCCAGTAAGCCTCTGCAAAAGGAGCGGCGTTCGGTACTCACTAGAAGCAGTAGATATGCAACGCCTGTCTCTATCACGATGGCCAGCATCGCGAGACTAGAGTGCATCGACGATTTCACTACGAAGCCGCTACTGTTCCTCCAATGGGCCCTGCGTAGTATGGTCACTCTCAAGTCGCGGATACATGCCTTGGGCTGCGTACCATGCTTTGTGTGCGATCGTCACGGTGGATGCTGTTTGAGCAATCCCCGTGATAGCGTATGACGTATAAACGACAGGACGCCGAGACTTGACAAGAGCATCATAGAACCCAGAGTTCGAAGGAGGCAGATAGTACGTCGACCATGAGATCGCCACCCAGAGATAGATCACTGTTTCATTCCTGAGGATCAGATGTGGACCAGCTTCCAACTTCGTGATGTACTTACGGCTCTCAACAACAATGATACTGATCACGAGTCTTCGAAGCCATCGTGGGCGACCAGAGATGACATAACCTCGCCACAGTGATACAACATCGCCTAGCAGGACCTGTTTGACAGATCAGTTCAGGGAAAGAAGGTGGAAGAAGACGACATCTACCAGAAGGAGCTGCAAGATTGATTGGACGTAGAGAGGTGGAGACCACGGCATGTCGAGCCCGTCGAAGAAGATACCGGTGCCTTGCAACTCTGTCTGCCGAGGAAGGAATCTATACGCTTCTGCCCACAATAGATATACATCGATGACCCAGTACCCGACGCACGCGACGAACATCGTTAATGTCGTCCAGAGTATGAATGCTGGTAATGGGTTCGTTCTGCGATTTGACCTGAGGATATCGTCAACGTACTGCATATACCAAGATAAGGCGCACTCGTACCATCGCTTGGAGATGAAGTACCCAGTGAGGACGGCGTATAGAGCTAGGAGTGACTATCGGTCAGTCATCCTATTCTGAGAAACTTGAATGTACGAACCGAAGAGGAATGTCTCCGCGAGAAGCGGGAAGACGCGATCTCTGAGTATAGAGGAGATCTGGGAGAAGGGTATCTGCGCTTCCGCCTGCGGCGATACATGGGAGGACATGTGGGAGATGGGCGCGTCGAGGTCTCATCCTGCTTTAGCACCATGTTTGCCCTTATCATCGGAGGGCGGGAAATGAATCGATAAGGTACCCGCTGAGTGACCGCGGAGACCGGGGTATCAGCGTCGACGTGGATGAAACAGTCTCCTCGTCAACCGCATCTAGCTGTGCCCAATCGCTTTCAATGTCGTAGTCCAATTGGGGAGAAGGATGTCCACGCTACCTGCTTATGCGGTGCTCTTGAGCGAGTGATTGGCGCTCCGCAGTAAGTGGAAATGGGTGCTGCGGGCCGAAGGAGTCCATGGTCAACTGAGAATCTAGAGACGGAAGAGTGACGCGTGAGCAGGAGGCACATTAAGCGGACCAAGTCAAGCTCACTCATCGACCAAGTATGGCACTGGGAAACTGGCCAGTTGGCTGTCCTGTACTCCCATCTGGTCGGCGGTTATGGGATCATGTTGAATTGGCGTGTTCGTAGATGAAGTCACATAGTATCACATGTGCGATAGTTAGCATCTGCTGGTAGCCATGGTTCTGAACGTACTGTCGAGGTGTCCAACTCCCAGCTCTCGCCTTATAGTGAGCGGGGCCGCGTACAGCCAGTCAAAGTTCAGCTTGCGCCAGGGTCAAACAGGCGAGCCACGTAGAACGCCGAGTCGGGGCGAAGTACGGCTATCAAAGGTCGAAACCAGGCACGTATCTGGCGCCCGTCTGCAAGTCTCAAAATCTCAGGTATCTTCATCGCCTTACACCACAGGTCTCGGATAGTGCATGCTTTCGACTGAAATTGTGCGCTTTGGGCCTTCGGGAATGAATTGGGCGTCTGTCCAGCTTTATGGAGGGAAGCCATGGCGATCTTCTACCACGCCGCAAAGAGGCTGAAAGACTGACAGCCGCATGTTCTCCATTCCAGTCTGCCTTTTCCGGTATAGGGAGGTCATATTGATCGATACATGAAGCTATGTTTGAGCGCGGTGTTGAGCCTGCGGTGGCTTGCGCTTAAAGACCGCTGCTGTTTACGAGGCGCTGAAGCGCTGAAGGCTACCGGACCTATGTCCTTAACAGTGATGATGAGCGCTAGTCTCAACTGCAGAGGAAGAGCTTGGCACACCTTGAGCTCACTCCATCCATCTAACTGTTCGGGAATCATAGCTATCACGATATCGTGCAGAGCAACATATAAAGCTCGAGGTCCCAGAAGGTCGCGTCGTACGGCACAGGTAGGTCTTGAGCCGAGACACGCGTTCGACCGATTCATTATAGTACAATTCGGCCGCTCGTGATGTATCGCAAGTGCGCGAAGGTAAGAGGGACCGGCATGTGCATAAGACCACAGGCAGGTGGATGTGAAAGGCAACTCGCGTTTTCGGCTGCATGTCGCGCGGATTGCGAGCGCGGGTCCGAGTTTGATCGGGCTTGGATCTTGGGGGTCGCCAGAGTTTGGCTCGGCAGGTTTCGGCATGCCGAGCAGCGTGGCAGCCACGCGACATGCGGCCCCAGTGTTTCGGTTCGGTCTCTGGCCGCGCCTTCCGCGTCCCGTTCACTCTTGCTTGTGTCACGGCCGAACTGTACAGTTTGCAACACACACAGGCATACATATTCAGACGACGCCGAATTAGCTTCTGCTGCATAGCTGAAGGCGCGACGTTTGCGCCGGGCGACAAGTCCCCAGAAGTAGATCGCATTCCTGTTGATCGCGAGCTCACAGATGGTGCTGGCGCGGAGAGCGATCCCAAAATACGATGATGTATACCGATGAATGTACTGTAAGACTACCTAAACAGCCTTTGCACCCCTATATCCTTCCCTTGTCCGTCTAAATCCCCTAGTGCAGCCTCCAAGGCTTTTAGCACAAGATCCATTCCCTTCCCTTGATGACCCCAGAATGCACGTTCTTCAGCATCGAGCTTGCTCAGGACGAACTCAGCCAGTCCGGTCCCATCGCTCGGCCGTCCGATACCAGCTCGGAGATGCCAGAAAGATCCATGCGGCCAATGCGCCTGCGTGCTCCGCACACCGTTATGCCCTCGGGCGCCGCCTCCATACTTGAGCGCTAGAGTACATGGTGCATCGGCGACCGAATCGTAGATGAGAACAAGATGCTTCGCGTTCTGCGTGCGGGAAGCAGCGGCGATTGGCGGGCCGGAGATGTTCATCAGGCGATCTGCGAAGGCGTGCATGCATGTTTGTGGCGTGCAAGGACGAATGAGGGTATAGAAGAGGCGCATGTGGGCGCTTAGGGGGTGTAAGATACATGATAGAAGTTTAGACGCACCTGTCTTGTACAGCAGCAACGAGGTTCCTTCATGTTTCGCGGTAGCCAGGTGTCCGCCGTCCTTCCTGAGTGTCGGGTGTGGTCTGAGCCTGCCAGCGCCGAGACGCTGCGCGAGGCCGTCGACAAGGTATTGGCCCAAACTTCCATTCAGTAGTCTCAGCCTTCCGAGTCTCCATGCGCACGTTCGCCGCCAGGACAGCACGCACCTGTGTTTCGTTAGAGGATAGGGAGCGTTGCCGAGTCCAGCTATGAGCACGCTTGTTCCGGCCATGTGTTTTCTATGAAGTCCGAAGTGGAGATGGAGGCACAAGCTAAAGAGCGTGCCTTGCAATTGGCGTTGCTCCAATACCACCATGTCCTCCATCCCCTCCACCTCGTCTACTCCCTCAATTCCTGCTGCGCTCAAGACCCGTCGACAGTCTGCAGTATCACGCCCAAGAGCAGCCCGCGCGCACAGTCTGAGCTGCTCGCCGTCTGCTGTTGACGCCTTGGATCTCTCGTTACCATCACCAGCGGCAACGCTCGCGAGCCTGCGCATCTTTGTTCTCAGGCATCTGGCTGAAGTCGAGCAATACCTTTCACAACTCGAATACGACTCTTTCGTAGAGGTCGAGCAGTACCTCGCTCAACATCACGGCAAAGTCGATGAGGCACGAGCTTGGGCACGGGAAGGACTTGCGTTACTGGAGCACATCCGCGCGGATGTGCAAGCTAGCCTCCCAGCGCTTACCATCGATCCTGCATTGGTGGAACACTTCGTTGCGCGTCTATCAGAGCTGAGGGTTCCCGACGTCCGCGCACGACTGGACGACGTCAAAGCGCGCCTACCCGACCTGGACTCCTTCGAACTCCCGCACCCAGAGCAGTATATCCCGACGCTGTCGGCGCATTTGCAGTCACTGCACTCGCATCTATCGTCCCTCGAATTGCCTGATACGCGAACGGCTCTCTCAACTCCAACCGATCTCCTCGCAGATCTTCTCGAGCGGCTCCGTGCTTCCGAACTTGCGCGAGATGTCCGCGAATTGCAATCTTCCGTTGCCGAGAAGGCCGCACATGCCGAAGACACCTTGCGAGACGTTGCCGCAGCCATCAAACTCGCTGCCGGCGGTAACAAGCTCATTCAATACGTCGATCTGCCTGACGACTGGCGGAATAACCCTTGGGTCACGCATGGATATCGGTGAGCTTGCTTCGCCTTCTGCGGCGTTGATTGAGGTGACTGATAGACGCCACAGGTTCATCCCGTTGAATAGGTGGCATATGATTGCCTTATCTGTCTTCATGTTCCATAACGAGACCCGTGCGTACCACTGCCTATCCCTGTTATCGCGTCGTTCCTGATTTGCGCTCATAGTCAACATCCACACCCATCTCATCCCCTTCTGTCTCTGGCTTCGTCAAGCATTGCCATCGCCTTCTACGATCCTCTCGTTCCCTCGTTCCTCGGATCCGCCTGTGGCCCTCTTCACGTTCTTCGCCCTCCTCTGTCTCGGGACGTCAACGCTCTGGCACACCATGGCCGGCTGCGCGCATCGTACCGGCATGGTCCTCAGTGCGAAGTTGGACTACGTCGGCATCGGCTGGCTCATATCTGCCTCTGTCGGGTCCGTAGCGTACTATGGTTTCCGCGAACAGGCCGTCGCAGAACCGTATGGGTACAATGACCACGCAGAGTTCTGGGTCAAACTCTACCTAGGGGTCTGCTGTGCGACGGGCCTGGCCGGGAGCATCCTGCCCTTTAAGGAGTGGTTCAATGCGCCGGAACACAAGGGCACACGGGTCCTCTTCTTCGTCAGTCTTGCGCTGAGTGCGGTTGCTCCGCTCGCGCACATCGCATTGCGGTATGGTCTTTGGACGATGCTTGCGTTCATCAGTACGTGTCTTGCTCTTACGATCAAGATATGGAGACTGACGTCACTGGTAGACCCGGTCCTTCCCTCTCTGTTGTCATACATCGCGGGCCTGTTCTTCTACCTGACTTGCCTCCCTGAACGCCTCATGCCGCCGACTTGGGCCCCTGTACTTCACTTCACTGGTGGTGGCAGTCATGGTATGCACCTTGTTCCTCTATTCTCTGCTCACAGACTCATGTTGTCGCTTAGCAATCTGGCACGCGTTCATCGTGCTTGCTATCCATCTTCACCGCCAGGCTATGCCCATCCTTGCCCAAGGCGTGCAGCTTTCCGTCGCATAAGGGACATTGAGGGTCCACAGTTGCTATTCTATTGCTTTGTGAGACGAGAAGGGTTCACGTTGCTTTCACGATGCTTTTGTAGAGGTTCGGGTTTGGTTAGAGGCCAAGGGATAGAATATTCGGGAAGATACCAGGTGCTCCACCGGAGTAGCCACGCCGCACGTTGCATATATGTAGCCATACATACGATACCTCGCATACATACAACACATCACGCTCGCTTCAATCTCAGTCATTCGTTTGCATTTCAGTAGGGCGTATACTGGGGCGCGGGTAGGGCTTGGAATAATATTGGGCATGCCATCCCAATACGCCACTGTCTGGGCGTCGTGGATCCTCCGGTATGCAAAGAGCTGCGATCATATAATCATTCGGGTATTTTGTCAACGGTTGTGCTCTGCCTGTGGCGACCGGCGTACCGTGCGAGTCTATCGGCAATCGCCGTTCCTTTCGGCCTCGGGAGGGCCGACCCGGCCGAGACGCGTCAACAACGACAACACCTTGATCCTTACCCACCATCCACGATCCATCACTGTTATTCCGCCACATGTTGGATCTCCGATATACGGATGGGTACTCAATTCCATCTTGAGAGCATCATATTGGACTTGTACGCACGCCGGCCGTGGTCATGAGGGACAATCTTGATGTTGAGGATGGGAGACTGGCAATGAGGCTTTCGGGCACCGAGCACGCCGACAACGGTCGCAGGGCTGTGGATTAGGGGAGCAGGATCACCGGTCTCTATCTATGAAACTATGGGCATGAATAAACGTCTGTATCCTTCCGCGTTCATCGCGCGGAGCAGAAAGCAGGGCACCGGAACGGCGCCGGGTGTTTGCTCAGTTGTCCGCGCGAATGCGACCATTGCGTGACAAGCGACGTGGTTACGGCGTTGCGCCAGCATGACTCTTGCATTCATAGGTCAATGCGCGTCACTGCACCCACGTCTTCCCATTCTATGACCCTGCGTCTATCGGAAGGCGGGAGAAAGGGGCGCTTGACGAAGTGGCTGCAGTGGCTCACTACCGCTTCGACGCGGTCGTGTGCCCTTCACTCCTCGCCGCTGCACGAGTCAGCGCGTCAAACGAGACTTGACACTGGTTCCTACGACGGTCCTGCCTTTGAGCACGCCGGAATGCAACACATGCCTATCTATACCACCTAGATGGTGGCTTGACGTCGCTTGATGTACCAGGGCTTTCCCGGGAACATTCATCGCTATCTCTGTCATTGTATGGGCGCGCTTCCCCCGCAGTCTTCAAAAGCTGGCGGCTCGTGTCGATGATAGCGTACTGCGCCCGTGCGCCTGTTGCCCCGAGTTACTCTTCGACGATATGTCGAACTCTTCACAACTTGACCGTCACCGCGACGTAACGTCGATCATCGCAGATCGGGCGTTTCCGTTGATGCTGGAAACTTACCTCTACGGTAAGCCCTCTTCATACCTTTGAAATCATGCGACTAACAAGTATTACAGCCCTTTACACGGTTTTAACCGTGTACTTCCTGTACAGGCGATGGTGAGTCGTCACATTCATTTCGGCCATGGCACATGACTAACGGCGAGCTGAACAGGTTGGATCGGAAAACTACTTCGCTACCAGTATTCATGCTATTCGTGACAATATCCATGTTCATCCTCTACTCCGGCTACTGGGCTATCGATGTCTATCTCCTATGGATCGAGATATATCGTTATCTGCCGCAATTGGGGACCGTGCCGGGTATCTTCTTTCTTGATGGGATATTGATCCCATGGTCCGTGGCGTACTACGTGCAAACCGCCCTTGAGTTCGCTATGGTACTGTCCTACGAGGAGTGACTGTTTCTACATGCCACACAAGCTGATTCCGTTCACAGCTGGTGCTCGGGGACACCGTGTCGCTCTGGAGAGCGTACGTCATATGGGGTCGACCACGCTGGCTTTTCATGCTATTTCTCGGCACTACTGTTATTGAAAGCAGTAAGCCATCCCCCTCCTTGCATTCACGATCTCAGGACACTAATTCTGGTATACAGTTGCCTATGTCCTTGTTCTTGTGGCCCTCTTCGCGCAGAACCTACCACAATCCCCCCATGGCTTCAGCTACAGCTTCTTTACGAAGGCGTACATCCCCCTGTGTCTGGTTTCCAACATCATCACGGCCTGCGCACAGCTCTTTGCGACCATCATGATCATGTACAAAGGATGGTATGTAGCCTCAGCCCATGGTCTTCGACGTCGGCTCACGCATTCTGTAGGGTCTACTGGAGAGACGTCCGGAAGATCTCACAGCAAGCTCGACACGGCATCGCGATGCTCACCGTCTTCATCGAAACCAGTGTTGTCTACTTCTTTTTCTTGGTGCGTTCATCTCCTCGAAGCGCTTTCCCGAATCTCATCGCATGCAGCTCTGGTTAGGTTTCGTGGGCTTCTTCGCCAACCCGAACACCCTGCTGTATGCATGGGTATTCTATTACACAACACCCCTGATAGTGCGTCAGATAAGACCGTTCATACAATACTGCAGATAGCTAACCACCTGTTAGGCCATGTATCCTACACTTGTCGTCGTCATAGCGGCTACCCGCCGCTCCGTTCTCGAGAACAGTGCCGTTTCCGAGCACGTGCCTTCCGGCTTGCACTTTGCTACCAACCCCAGTGCACAACAGAACCGAGGGAGCCAACCCTCCAGGTTTCTGACGTATACTCAAACGGAGATCAGGCTCGGGGCAAGCTTGGCCTCTCAGCGTATCGCAACCCATATAAGCGAAGATCAAGACGAAGGAACAGGGCCCGAGGATGGCAGGGATAAAATTGCCCAGGATATGTCACCGTGACCATCTGCTTCTCATAGACCTGTGTTGAATCGTAGGGAGCCTCGGCTTGGTGAATGGCATGTACAGAATACACTGAGGATTGAGGGCTCGAATCGTAGCTATGAATTACTGAATCCACTCACAGTCTAGGGTGAAGTAGAGTAGATGCCTCTGGGTAGCAGTATACACGACCCACTCGAGGAAGATGGTATGGCTGTGGCCTTTTCGTACTATAGCACCTCTCGCCATTACTCAATATCGCCGCGGTCACCTCAGCTATGAGCCGTGGGAATTGACGTTGCATCAACGGATCAGCTGATTCACCAGCAATGCTAGCCGCTCAAGCAGGACCCTCAGGCTCGCCTCAACACAGCCACCACCCAGTGAACTCCGCCAGACTGTTCGGCGCCATAAGCATTTGGGCGGCCGATACTACCTTTGGTATATCTCTTGCGTGTTGTGAGGCTGAATCCGGGACCAACAAACGCCGATTCGCGCGTGCGCTTCTATCGGTCCGGTTTCAGCGCTCGTCCAGCACTGGGTGCTGCGCTGTTAAGCAATCTGCGACAGACGCATCGAAGTGAGCGGCGCTTCAGCTTGTACAACTTTGTACATGGTTGGAACTCACGCCTGTCACTACGGCCCATCTTTATCCGTCGGAAAGTCAGCGGAAGAAACCTTGAGCATACGGTTGCAGTCGTCTCCTCGTCCCCCACAATACCACCTCGCCACTACTTCGCCAATAGGCCTTGTCCACTCCTGCACGCGACTCAACGCTACGCGCTAAGGGGCTTCTCAATATCGCAGCCACAACGGCGTCACCTTCAAACGGTGTCTGTAGAGGAAGCGCACAGGTGCCGACGACGCAGATCACACTCAGCCTTCCATGTCTGATATCTTCCTCCGGCAATGGACTCTGTTTATCCGGCAGCAAGGTTTCCGTCCTATGAGCGCAGTCTCTCCCGTGGTAGGCTTCTTCAAAAGGAGAGCGATCATCATGATTGCGACTGGATCTACCTGCCCCGTCGTCCTGGATGGCCTTCGATAAACTGACTGACTCTCGAGGACAAGATGATCGTAGCGAGGTCTCGTTCATCATCGCGGACCGCGCGTTCCCACTTGTGTTGGAGACGTACCTCTATGGTGAGATCTGTGTTCGATGAGCCGAAATTCAACTATCTAATGAAGATGTGCAGCCCTCTATACGGTGTTGACGGCGTATTTCCTCTATCGCCGATGGTGAGATACCGTTGACCGCTTGAAGACCTACCATGGCTGATTACAGTACAGGTTCCATAGGAAAACAACGGCTCTACCGGTGTTCATGCTCTTCGTGACCATGTCCATGTTCATACTCTTCTCTGCGTATTGGGCGCTTGACGTCTATCTCTTATGGATCGAGATATATCGCTACCTGCCACAGGAAGGGAGCCAACCGGCTGTCATGTTTCTCGATGGACTTTGGATACCATGGTCTGCGGCGTACTACGCGCAGACTGCTTTACAAATCGTCATGGTACTGTTCTTCCCTCGACTACGTTTATGATGTGCACCGTGCTCATGGGACGCTCAGCTCGTTCTCGGTGATACAGTATCGCTCTGGAGAGCGTATGTCGTATGGGGTAGGCCGCGCTGGCTCTTCATACTATTCACCTGCATCGCTGCGATCGAAAGCGGTGAGCCACTTCGAAATGTTTCCAGCCTGCATTGAGTATGCTGACTGCGAAGTTAGTCATGTACATCTTTGTTTTGGTCGTTCTATTTGCGCAAAGTCTACCGCAGTCCCCGCACGGTTTCAGCTACAACTTCTACGCAAGATCATACACTGCGTCTTTCTTAGTCTCAAACATCATTACTGCGTGCGCGCAGATGTTCGCCACACTATTGATCATGTACAAGGGATGGTCTGTGCTCTCTCTTGCTAATGATCAGTGCCATATCTCATGATCTTGTCCGTAGGATCTACTGGCGGGCCGTGCGCGAGTTCTCTCAGTCAGGTCAAACTCGCTATGGCGTTGCTATGCTCGCTGTCTTCATCGAGACCAGCATCGTGTACTTTGCCTTCTTGGTACGCTCGCCTAATCGCGAACCAGACTTGCAGCGCTCATTGTTTGCAGCTATGGTTTGGCTTCATCGACTTCCTGGGGACTCCAGATTCTCTTGTCTACGCCTGGGTGTTCTATTACATGACACCCTTGATAGTGCGTCCGCCTCTCACATCAGTCTGACGTAACTACATGATCTTTTCGGTAGGCCATGTATCCTACCCTCGTTGTCGTGCTGGCGACCACACGCCGTTCCGTTCTCGAACGCCAGAGCATCCCAGAGCATGGGCCCTCGGGTCTACTTTTCGCGACCAACCCTGGTGCACACCAAAACCGAGACGGTCGACCATCTGGCTGCCGTACACCCACTCATACGCAAATCGCGTTGGGAGCAAGCATGATGATTCAGAGCGTTGCGGCATCTTCATACGATTCGGATCAAGTCATGGAGAGAGGAGATCTCGGATCCGGAGTTGTAAGGGATAAAGCTGCTCGAGACCTCGTATCGTCTCCAACTGGTAGTAGGCGTTCGTCAACGATTTGAACCACAATTTTCCAGTGCTTGTGCATCATCTTTTACAGTGAGTGGCGCATGTGCACGAAAGGGTGCTTCTACATGAGTACACGTCCGTTCAATACAGTCGTCCCGGAATAATCTCGGCGTGAGAAGAATTGCTGCTTGTGCGCGACTCCGATGATGCCGCGTGGTGCGGGTTGCGCGTTCCTTTTTCGTCTCGACCACCATGATGTCCTGACTTACTTCGTCCTATCAAACCATACAAACACACAATATGGCCTGGGCACAGCACTGCCGGAAGCCTCGTGCGCAACGCTAAGCAGCATTGCTCGGGATCACCCAAGCGCCGTCGTCGGCATGCAATCAATCATCATGGATGGCCTCCAAAGATGTATAACCTTGGGATTGCGTCGGAGACGACCGTCGGCGTGGTTAGATGTGCGTATCTTTCCGCATAGCTTACGATCCTGGGCTGATGTTGTTCATAGCTGGCCGCGAGCCATCTTACGCAGAAGGCCTGGCCTCAGGTTGCGCTGAGCCAGCCGTCAGGGATTCCTCGATATGCCCCTCCCGGTCCGCCTTGTAGCCCAACCTGTCATCACGCATTCGGAAGCATGGTGCCTTGATTCTTCCAGCTACCGTAGATAAGACGGAGACGTAGCTCAAGTCGCTTTTACGCCCTCCATCTCTACCGCATTCTTCTACCTTTTGGCTTCCTTCTGCAATAAACATGAAATAAAATGATATTGTGCTCTGTAAAGGTCGCTATTGCGAATCTTTGACGACAACAACCCCGCTCGGTGGACCTCTACGACTAAGCACCTTTTGTGTCATCCGCGGACTGGTCTTCGGTGCGCTCTGCAGCATGGAATGGGGTGGTAGATGCGCTGGGCGACCCCTCGACATTGGCCAATACGGAGTCTTGCAGAGTGACGATCATGACTACCAGAGTGGGATACATGGCCTCGTTTTCAAAGGGGGATAAGAATCTTGTTACGCGCGTGTTCATCAGGTCAAGCTCACCGTTAATGGCATCAGATAGTAGTCAGTCCATCCGGTTACGATCGGGCCAAGGATACCATCGTTTGTTGCAATAGTATACCAGATCTAAGGGACAGTCAATCGTGAGACTTTAAGCCAGTCGGATTACTCGCCCAAAGTAATGTGTATGCGACACCGCTCTCAATCAGCACTGCCAAGGCACGGAATACCCTGCCAGGCCCTTGAAATAGTCCCTTGCGACTCTTCCAAACTCTCCTGAGCACGGCGGTCAAGTAGATCCCGGATCGCACCAATACGAAGTCCTACTCACCAGGCCTTGTACGCGATGAGTGCCGTAGCAAAGACTTGTGTGATCAACGTGCTTGATGCTGCAGCCAAGTATGGTGCAGTGATGATGTATCTTGAGCCTGTCATCTCCCGAATTGACTGGATGAAAGGAGGCGGGTGCGGAAGCACGTAGAGATAAAAGACAAGATAATCCATGTAAACCCCTATCGAGATGTAGCCATCAGTCTCAGAAAGCATCTTGCGGCCTCTCAAGATCAGGTGACACGACCGAGTAGATGACCTTACCAATCTCGAGTAGGAAGAGTATGACTATCGTGATCCTAAGCCAGCGCGGCCTCCCAAGGACCGCATACGCTCTCCACAATACGACGGCATCGCTCGAAGTCCACTTCATGGCAACATTAGACATTCACGAGACGGAACTAGTTTGCATGCTTACGATGAGTATCTGAAGCACAGTTTGCACATACCAATGCACCCCGAGCATCTTGTCTAGCGTACTGTATGCAGATTCGTCATGCGTCTGGGATAGACGAGCGGGCAGGTAGGCGAGCAACTCCTCCCGCGCGATGATTATATCGAGTAGCCAGTAAACCAGAGCAAGGAAGTACATGGATATTGAAAGAGTGAGTGTGACATTGAGGCGTCGACGCCGGTGCGGTGCTATTTGTTGCTTTCCCTCTGAGACAGACCTGTGGTCAAGTGTCAACATTGTGGTCTGAGCGAACCTATACCTATGAGTGACGGACCATCGATGGTACACAAAAAGGGTCGTCTGTATGGTGAAAATGACTACTGCGAATGAGGATCTCCTTCAGCGTCCTCCGATGACAAGTTACACACCGATGAGTGCCGTCTCCAGAAGCAACGGAGCGGCTCGAATGTTCACGATGTCTCGCAGGATCGCCGCTGCTGATTCCACATTGAACTCTTCCTCAGCCTTTTCGTAGGGGGCCATGTGTTGCACCTGCAGGGGTCGAGGCAAGCCTTGTACGCAAATGCCGTCCGACGAAAGGATGACCGAACGAGATCCCGCACCTCGGTCAGTTATATATAGTAACCCAGCGTACGAAACCCTGTCAGTGGAGCATACGGTGAACATTTCAACGAGGAAGAATTCAGTTCGTGCCGTGCTTCTATGCCATGCCGTAGCAGGGGCTCATATCGAAGGGATAGTGGAGCCTTGACCACCTGGGATGTGAATGATCTCGAGCGCGTCAATCGTCCATCTGTGTCATGATGATTAGAAACAAGGCTAGTAGATGATCGGCGTGTAGATGCCGCTGAATAGCATGGTCGGAACCGCAATCCCAGACCGTGCACCGCTGGTACAATACTCATTCACTATGCTCGATGCCAGCAGAATGAGTGTATAGTCAGGTTGGCATCAAGAATGAGTATAACCATGGGCATGCGCATGCGCACGCCTACAGACGAAGAGCCGATGAGCGCGCACATGTCGAGGGCTCCGTAGGTTGGATCGATCTGGAGTTAATTTGAAATGGAAGGATTGGGTGCAGCTATTTTTGGTGATACCGAGTACTGCTAGGTGCTCCCTGCGAGGTCGGAGCTGGAATACTCGAGGTTGTGTGAGCGAATGACTGCGTGCGACAGTGTAGGGGTCCTGTTTGCCTCTATAGGTCAGGAGATGCCGCAGTACGTCCGTCCACCACTCGCCATACACCGTCCTGTCCTAAACACCTGTTCGGGGACTTCCTGGCGCCCTGTCGACTCAAGTGAAATGTAACCTTCGGTGGCTTGCGATTGCCGAGGCAGAACACGAAGGGGGTTGAAAAGGTCGTCCGTAAGCATGAGCATCCTCATGGCGATGTGAGGTACACGGTGGCGCAGACCTACTTGCCAGCGCTCCTGACTGTACGTGGCGGACTGCATCGGTGATCACGGCCAAGAATGATTTGTTCTCAGGCTGACTAGCTGGGCGAAGAGACTCGTACTGGAAATGCACGGCGGATTCATCGGCCAAATTGCCTGATGTGTTGTGTGCTCGACGCTCGGGCCAAGCGCGCGCTTGAGTAGGCCCGACCCGCGTGGGATCTGCACTCGGCTATCCCCGCTGACGCGGCGGGCGCGCCATCCCAGAGTGCTTGATGGCGTCTGCCATGTTGTTGTCAGTGCAACTTGAGTCCACTGCCGAACTTCCCCTAAACCCCTATGGGAACCACATATTCCCCCCGGTACCCTCGCTTCCCTGAGGTCAGTGAACCCGGTGAAGGTGACCCGCCGTCGTCTCGATACAGATACACACGCAGATGCGATGCACCCTTGAAGGTGCTGTGCTCGGCGCGTACCTTGTCTGCAGCGGGTCATGAAATAATCTAAATTTGATCTTCTACTAGTCATGTGGCTCAAAGGAAAGGGAAAGAGGGGTCTACATGCGTCGATGGGCTTCCTGATGCGATGAGGGCGTAGGTGTTCCGCGACTGATGATTCTCTCCGGCTACCAATCGAGGCCAGACCCGCTATAAAGAGGTAGGGCTACAGACCTCCCCCTTCATTATGATGCCATGGCGCACAACGAACTTCACGCCCTTATCACACCAGTTGACTATGCTCAAGTCACGGCGATCATGGAGACGTGGGTATTCCCGCTCATCACAGAAACGTTCCTCTTCGGTAAATCAGCATCCGGTTGTATCATCATGTCGCTCACGCTTAAAATAGCGCTGCATACCGTCCTGACGGTGTATTTTGTCTACTATCGATGGTAATGTGTGACGATCAGAGCGACACGTCGTTATACTGATGCATTCCGAGTCATTAGGGTGAAACGGCAGACGGCACCGCTACCACGCTTCATGCTGATTGTCGCACTATTGATGTTTGCGATGTTCTCTCTTTACTGGTCATTAGACGTCTACCAACTATGGGAGAACGTATACCGGTTTCTTCCCCTCCGACAAACGGGCTCGAAAGGAGCGATCGATCCGACCGGCGTCTCCGTCGCCGCTTCCACACTTACCTACGTGCAAGTGATCTTGCAGTTTCTGATAGTGACTCGCACATGGCCTGAGTTCACAATCTTGCACTGATTATGACTGTACAGATTGTCATAGGAGACACAGTCTCCCTCTGGCGGGCATATGTCCTTTTGGGGCGACCGCGATGGCTCTTCTTGACCATGATCGGAGTGGTCGCCCTTGAGAGCTGTGAGTCGACTCGAAGACTATCACCGTTACGCATACCCACACTGATCTGTCGATTTTAGTCGCATACACCCTCCTTGGCTTAGCGGGACTTCAAGATTTCTTGCCGCGCCTCGAGACTTCCCAGTTCATCAGATTACTCTGGAGCAGACAGGGTATTTGCTATCTTTCAGCAGGTCTGCTTACAATTTTGGCACAGTCATGCGCCACTCTGTCCATCAGCTTCGTAGCTTGGTTCGTATCATTGTACCACAGAGCTCGGGGGCTGATATCATGCACAGGACATACTGGAATGACGTTCGGAAGCTCATGCCTCTAAATGCGCCAATGCAACACTCTCTCGCAATGCTAGCTGTTCTGATTGAGTCTGGAATCGTTTACCTCGCTCTTTTGGTAAGTCGTATCTCAATTGAGCGCACGTCCTTCACCCGATACAAGACATGTGGATAGGTTGTCCTGGGGGTCATCAGTTGGGCCGGTAGGAACGGATCAGTCTCGAAATCCACCATCTCCTTTTACGTGACTCCCCTCCTCGTACGTCCCCATCACAATCTCAACCTTCTGAAGGTTAAGAATGCCGCCCGTAGGCCATGTACCCCACCCTAGTTGTTGTGCTCGTGGCTACACGCCGCTCCGTACTCGAGCGAGACCATCAATGCCGTCGTTCAACATGCGCTTCGCCTCGAGCATCGGGGAACGTGCTCGTCCCGACGACCGTGCATTTCATCCTGAGGTTTCGCGCGAGGTCGAGAAAGCGCAGTTCGAAGGTCCGAGATGGGAAGTAGACTCTCAACCCGACCCGCGGTCGATGAAATTAATGCAAGATCCACCGGCAAGCGATGATCATTAGCTACTAATACAGCACCATTCAAAACATTGGTCACGGTTTCATGATACGTAGGGTTGGACTACCGTCCGACGCATAGTCCAGCTTTCCGACCTCACTATCGTCATTCTAAAAAAAAATGAAAATCGCGTCGCGCAGATATTTTTCCACGCGCGCGCGCACCTCGCACCTAGATCGCCCCATAGCTCCCCAACCACTGCACGTACGGACACCGTAGTTCATTATTTCGGCGTGAATCAGTTAGCGTAAATATACTGTGCAAAAATTTCGGAAAAAGCGCCGGCCAAAATGCCCGCTATTTTCGCGACCGCGCGTCGCGCGCGCTCGCATCGAGCGTTGCTCACGAACCACCATATCCAACGGCGCCAGCTCGCACAATCATGGTCTACAAGAGTCTCTGATTTACTCATATTGGTTCTGGCTCGGACGTGTCAGCAGCTCGCGCTACGCGCGCTATTCTTTTGGCCACCAAATTGGTGCGGCCCAGTGTGGCGACGAGCCATCGCGAACCCGCAAGATATTCTGTGCCAGCAACGTCTGCTGTCGTTGACGAGGCCTTCCGGAGCCTGACAGGGATGATTCGAGGTGGTTCGAGGTGAGGAGGAAGTCACAGCGACACGGATGTTGTGCGGTGCGTGTTTCGCGGATTTCGCAGCCCGCCGTAGCGCTCATTCTCTTGTCAGATCGAATATGTGGTATATCCGTCTCCCAATACCAGTTGAACCGCTTTGGGGCTGCTGAAACCGTGTTGGAAGCGCGCAGCCGCCCGAACTATTTCGCTATCGTATCTTCTCGCCCCCCCCCTCCCGCACATGCCCGTCATTTCGCTATCTCACTCATATATAGAATCCACACGTATAGTTTGTCAATCACAGCGATTCTTGAACTCAGCTACCGCTCGTTTCGTAAGCAACGCTCGATGCGAGCGCGCACGACGTGCGGTCGCAAAAATAGCGGGCAGTTTGGCCGTCGCGTTCTTCGAATTTTTCACACAGTTTATTTCTTTCCATCTTTGCGCGTCTAAATAATCCGGTTCCACGCCAGTAGCTACGATAGCGAGCGAGTTACGAGGCGAACAGCAGCGAGAGCGCGCGCGCCGTGGAAAAATATCTGCGCGACGCGATTTTCATTTTTTTTAGGATGACGATACATAGGATCGCTCGAGAGTATGTTTAGGACTGCGCTATACGGGGAGCAGAGGAGGTTTCGGACTGTGGTAATACCGTTGGGCCACATCCGAACAAAGGCTGGCTGTAGTCTATCGGATGGACGTCACCACGCCCGCCTCGTGTCTCGCGACGCCGGTCCGCGCGTGCCGTTTGACGCCCATAAACGCACACAGCCTTCACAGCCTGTCGCGCGACGAGAGCGTCTTCTCTCGACCACCACCACCACCACCACCACCCTATGAAATAATGAATATACTCTTTCGCTCTCTGGAGCCGTGCGCAGCCTGTGTCTCACACGACTCGTAACACGGATGCACACTATGAATATCTCGCTCTTCTCGCTGACGCCGCGGCGACTGCGCCCGTTCTGTACGAACAGTCGCCTACTGTGCTGGCTGCCGGCGCCTTCTCTTACCGGGATACGCGAGGCATACCATCGTAGACTCGCTCAGCCGACGGTCAATGCTGCTACTCGTGCTAATAAGAGAGTGATGGGTCGTGGTGATTTAGCGCCGGCCAAGACGTATGCGTCCATCTATGCCGTTCATACGGGCTCATACGAGTTCGTACTGGTCGAAAGCGGCGGGTGGAATCAATACGCAAGACACATCTGCATACCAGGCATGTTCCGGTACTGAACGTCATGCGCGTCCGCGTTCTCATGTGCGAAGATTCACCGCTTCATCTCCTTGACAGCACCAGGGAACAATCGACGACAAGCAAGCGTCGTAAGATCAAGAGCATACGTACAGTACGCTCTGTGTTTCATTGTATCTACCGCAAGAGCTGATGATAACGGCACGTAGGGATCGTCAGTACGAAGCGTCGTCATCTCGATAATCATCTTGTCGCCGACCGTTTCCGCATCACGAAAGACCCTCTCAAAACGCCTTCCGCCCACGATGCTGCACGTATGCGAGCTACATGGATGAGTACGTAGCATCTCTTACCTTCATATCTACCATCTGACCGACGATTTGCAGCTTCGCGCACACGTAGATGCCCTTTGCTCGATCAAACCCCGTAAGTTCTCGCTTTCATCAACAAGGATATATATGTGATCTGGCGCATTGAAGTGCAAGGTATGCGCACTATGCTCACTGTTGGTCTTGTGCTGACGTTTAGTAAGCAGGTGCCGGAGGCCAGATCTCGTCGACTACTCGAAGACCCTTTCTGTAGCACATAGGAGCCTTCGTCCGCTTATCATCTATCACCGGCTTGGAACACCATTCAACGCCTCATGTCATCGTTTCATCCTTGCCAACTTGCTTCTCATGACTTTCGCGTGCAATGGTCGCACAGACGGCAGACGTACTCGATGCTATCATGCGAAGACAGCAACGACACACCTCTCTACCTTCTACATCTTGCTTGTTGAACCAAGAATACTCCGTGTGTACGTCCCATTCGTCGCTCAGTTAGCATATATAGGGTCTGAGTCCAACCTGCAGGATGCGTCGATCACTCGCTTTTCTTATCATGGCTGCCGTTGATCCAACATATCCTCTTTTACCTATCGCCTGCTTCCTGTCTTCAGCAATGCTGCTGCTTGTACTCTTGACAAGCTTCATCCGGCAAAGCTGGAATCTTGGTGTCGCTTTTTTGTGCTTCTGGCTCTTCTGGGAGAACCTCACTTTGGGGATCAACCATATAATATGGTCCGATAACGCTGACATCAAGTTATACGTTTATTGTGATATCGGTGAGTGAATTAAGAGATGTTAGATGCCTGAGCGATCAAGATGTACTCAATATTCAAGCACGTCAGTTTCACATCTCGCTTTGATCACTTATGTTGTCAAACCTATGGCGACCTTGATCATATCGCGCCGGCTATATTTAATCACTCGTTTACAGTCTGTAGAACGTCCCAACAAAGCTGCGGTGCGATACAGTGCATGAAAAGCTACGCTTTCTCCAAACTGAGTGCCATTCACAGAAACGCAAAGAACTTGCAATAGAGTGGAGTCTTGGTCTAGTTATTCCTCTCGTGGTCGCAGGACCCCTTTGTGAGTCGCAACCATGGGTCGATGTTCATCAGGCATGCTGAGCTTGCCGCAAGACTACATAATTCAGCAGCTTCGATTCGAGGTCAACGAGGGTTTTGGATGTGATAACTCTCCCGACGGTTCAATCCTCGAAATATTGCTCCTTGATTCATGGAGTATAATCCCTCCCCTGGTATCCATCGCAATCTACTATCGTGCGTTGATTTGTTTGAGATGGTTGCCCTTACATCTTCTGACGTTCGTACCTACTCTTTCAGCTCACGTCGCTCGACTCTTCTATCGTCAAAGAAGGGACATCAACCACTTCCTACGGACTAATGACTCAGTGTCCCGCACCAACTACTTTCGCATACTAGCTCTCGCCAGCATCGATATTCTACTCACTTTGCCCATAGGCATCACGAATATCGTCTTGGATGTGAAAACGGCTTTGTCTTACTACGGTTCCATCCCGTTCTACTTTGGGTGGACCTACGAGCACACGGATTGGGAGCCGGAAAGCTTCTCCTACGCAGATATAGTGGTGCAAGGGACTTCCTCTGTAGCACAGTTCTACTTCAACCAATGGACATCGCCCATCCTCGCATTCGCCATCTTTGCCCTCTTTGGCGTCACCTCAGAAGCCCGCGCGTCCTACTGGCGCATCATCTGCACCATCGGCGGCTGGATCGGCTGGAAACCAACTCCTTGCACTCGTAGGGCGCGTTCACCGCTGGGAGACATCGCCTTCGGCGAGCGGCCCGCTCAGAACTCTATGTCGCTCGGTCTCGAGTGCGTTGCCTCGCCTTCTTCACTAATATCGACTGATCAGAGACTACAGTTCGAATCCGAGCTTTATCAACCGCGGCGGACAGGCGCAAGAACGTGCATCGGGAGAAGTGGAGAGTGGCGCGGACAAGGAAATCGAAGAGGTCCGTCGGATCACCGACGGCACAGTGTGAGCGTCCTTCTGGCCTACGCGAGTGCTGTGACTCACCCCGGGCTCTTCGCCTAGTAGAGATGCTGAGCATCAGTCTGGATATCAGGCGCCTCATTGTGCCAAAGCAGTAGACGCCTCGAGCGCCGTGTGAGCGACGGCTTGGCGACGGCCTATTTCCGCGCGCATTCCGACCTCAGGCCTCAGGCTAGACGCCAACCCGACTTGGTTCGCCCTCTGTTCACGTATATACCCGTTCTCTGTTGGTGTCTGTTGCGCTTCCCGATATCTTGTGGTGTGTGAACTAGATGTGAACGTGCATAGCATAGATGATGTATGAGCCTCGCGCATTCGCCAATTTCCACGCTGTTGTTAGAATAGATTATACAGGCGTATCGTTTGCGTTCGGCGGCTGGTGCGGATGGAGATCGACGCTTCGTACGCGCAGCGTCTGTCCACTGCAATGGAACATATTGACTTTGGCCTGCGGCCACCTCAAAGCTCAAGGTCGATTGATCTTGAGTGCGTCGCGAGGCGAAGCGATGCATGTTCGCTGACTAGGAGACAAAGATCGCGTCTGAGCTTTATCTACGCCAATGCGCGGATTTAAGGTCTGGGCGAAGATAGGGAAGGTGTCGTGAACGAGAGGGAGAGCCGCTTAGAGACGTACGCATCAGTGGAGATAGCACACCGGGTATTCAGCAAGATGGCATGTGCAGTTCACCACAACTGTGCGAGACAAGCATGAACTGGGCCGTCCAGCAGGAGTGCAGAGTAGCTCCCGACCTGACATCGGACATCTTACCCGACGGCTTCGACGATGCCTCAATCGCGGTGGAGGTGCTGTTCGTTGCCTCTTTACTGGGAGTGTCATAGTGTCTCGCGGTGTGCGATGATCCGCGATTCGGCGTACTTATGCGGAAAGATATTGACCAGCCTGATGCAGAGTTCGCGCGCTTTGCAGCGCTCGCTATTGCTTCAAAATATCCATATATTGGGACGCTAGTGTATACTTACATGCAGACTCGTATCGTACTGAGCTGATCAATAGGCCTGCAGGATGTGTTGAGTCGATACTCCTCTGAGCCTCAACGTGATGCGTACGGGTACGCATATCTTCGCCCATGCACAATCTTGCGCAAACTAAGAGGTGCGGCTAGAACACCGTTCATCTCCTCCGCATCCTTCCCGCCGCGCGCGCCTCACAGAAAGTTGTCCTAAATACAGCACCAGTATGCAGCTGCTAGCTCGAGCATTGCAGTTGTGACCGAGTGTTCATTGAGTGTTCGCGCGTTTAGATCGAGCGCACCCATGCACTGAGCACGGTTTTCTTCGTTCGTTAGGGAGGAGCTCCTGACTGCAATGTAAGAGTATGGGAGAAGTGTGCTCGTATGGATGTATTGAGGCGCGATGCTGCATGGGGCAGGTGCAGGTATTGCGGCGCACGGGCGGAGAAGGCCATCCCACTCTATCCTGCGCGTCCACAATGGCCTCCATAGATATCCTAAGCGACCTCTTCCAGCCCCGCATCATTGTCATACGTCAGAGCCTCAGCACTCCCTTGGTGAGCGGATCGTCCTGCTGAACGCGCACAAGCTTGACGCCGCCGGCCACGGGGTTCATACTGTCCGCGTCGTCGTCCAGGGGGGTTATCGGCGTATTTGAGTTCGTATTTGTAGAGCCTGAGGAGTGCGCTGGAGGTCGAGAGAGGAGAGACGGGGCCAGGCTGGTCATCGGGGTCGGTCGTCGTGGTCGTGAGTGTGAAGTCGAGAGAAAGACAGGGCCAAGAGAAGGTCGGGCTCGGAGTGTCCTCCGCACGCGCGCAGAAGTGATGGGCCTGGCCCCTCCGACGGTACGGGTTTTCCAAGTTCGTGCTTGGCTCGGTGATTTCGCTCTTTACATAGGATCGCTCGAGGATGTGTTCAGGACCATCGTGTGCAGGGAAAGGGAGAGGTTTCGGACTGGGGTACTTAATACCGTTGGGCCACATCCGAACAAAGGCCGGCTGTAGTCTATCGGATGGACGTCACCACGCCCGCCTCGTGTCTCGCGACGGCGGTCCGCGCGTGCCGTTTGGCGCCCATAAACG